ATTTCTGATGTGATGTTTAGATTTATGATGTGATATTTAGATTTCTGATGTGGTGTTTAGATTTCTGATGTGGTGCTTAGATTTCTGTTGCGATGTTTAGATTTCTGATGGTATGTTTACATTTCTGTTGAGAAAGTATTTCTTAATTTCTTTATTATTTTTTAAATTAAAACTGGATGAACTTACCATTGAATCAATCCTATTGGTCAGTTCAATATTTTAATATTTTTTATTTGTGGTTAAAATAATGAAACAATTGAAGAGAAATTATACTATTTTATCCAGCATTTTAAAAGTCATTTTTTCTATTTTCTGTAACACCCCCAGCCCTATTACGGTACGTCCTGCTCACCCCCTCTCTCCCCATCCCTACTACGGTACGTCCTCTTCACCCCCTCTGCACTACTACTACTACGGCACGGTACGTCCTCCTCCTCCCCCCTCTCCGCAGCCCTACAACGGTACGTCATCCTCCTCCCCCTTCTCCCCAACTCTGCTATAACCGTACGCCCTGCCCCCCTCGCCCCCTCTCCGCTATTACTACGTCCTCATCCTCCTGACCCTCCCACAGACACTACTACGTCTTCCCCCCTCTAACTCTCTCCACTACCACTACCAATATCATTACCGCTACCACTACCCCTCTCCACTACCACTACGACTACGACGCCGTTTAGTCGTAGGACCAATTATTGACGGTGAAGCCTTGGACCGGTCGCAACAGCTTCTGGGGGGGGGGGAGGGGGGGTCACGTCCGTCCGGATTTACCGGTGAGATTTGATCCAAACGGTTTAGGAGCGATCAAATCGTTGCACGCCCGACGACACGCCGGCATCCAGCAGACGACACCCGAATAGAAATGATGTCATCGTGTGGTATACAATGTACTCTTAATATCAGCTGTGGTGGGGGTTCAAGTTCAAGGCTGTCACCTCATTCTGAGTGGACCGCGCGCTGCTAAAAGATTTAATAGACCTTTTGGTTTCATATTTGAATAAGACGACTAGGGACTAGTGCGGGTCCTACATGACTAGGGTATGTTGTCCTAGATGACTAGGGTATGTTGGTCCTCTGTCACTTGGGGGATGTTGGTCCTGAAGTTATTCATTTCAAAACACAGCTTCTACTACACAGGCAATTTCAGGATTACCGCAAATCGTCTATTACGTTTACAAATACACGTAAAACCTTTGTAGTGTCCCACCAACACAACATCATTGCTTGCTGACTTAAGAGTCTAGAGTTACTTAACCCGCTAAGCTGGCCTCAGGGTAAAACGTGGCAGTGGCCATGTTGTGTCATACACTATGGTGTAGGTAGACGTCACAATGTACACACAACAGTTACCAGATTGCAAGCATACTCTCGGTCCTACCTAACCGACTTGTAATCGTCGATGACTGTCCCGGTCAAGGTCACGTCAGTAACGGTAATAGCTTTGCGATAACGGTTATCGTCTAATATACCCCCCCCCCCCCCCGCCCCCCCCCCCCTCTCTCTTCTTTTTTTTTTTTTTTTTTTTTTTTTTTTTTTTTTTTTTTTTTTTTGTTTTGCTTTTTTTTTTTGTTGTTGTCGCTGTGTAAGTAGTTGTCCTCGCTTCTCTTGACGCTATTGTGCATGAAGACAATGCGGACACACGGCGTAGAGAAAACACGATTGAAACCTACGTCACCGTGTGTAGGACGTGTGTTAGTTTCCTTCACAACGGAGACCATGCGTAACCGTTTTCATAGTTCACAACGGGACGGCGCATCACAACTCTTCTAGACTAAGCCTAATTAGTCTTAAGTCTAAGTCGTAAAATGTCGCGTTTGGTTTTCAGGTTGTCATTGGACAGTTACCAGGGTTATCATTGGACATTTTACGAATCCCTGACGGACCACCGTCCCTAATCTTGCTTGGTAAAAAAACAAATTATATGAACTCTTACAAATATTAATTATTAATATTTGTGTCTTCTATTTTGGTAAATTTATTGAATTTATTTTATGATTTTAAAGAGAAAGATTAACACTACTCACATTAGAGAAAAAAATCTCTCTCCCCCCCCCCCCAAACGTTTTTCTAAGGAAATGTTTCTTCTCTTGTGTAGGTTACAAAAGGAGAGGGGTCTTTTTTGTTGGGGGGGGGGGGAACAAGTCAAATTTAGGGGACCTAACCTAGTTTATGACGCATTACATCTACCGCCTATTCAACGTTCCAAAGTCCACTTATGACGCCTCCATTGCAGTGTGAAGGGAAACAACCTAACAACCCAATAATGTACTAGTCATAGCTTCTAAATACAAACCCAATCCTTCTTATCTTTTCCTGTCCCGAAAGTGGTCAAGCAAGGCCATAGTCATAACCTTTCATGAGCGACTTGGGGTCATGGACAGATTCTTCAAGTGTGACCATTGGCCAGTACAATGGCATCTCTTCCGTTTTTAACATTTAGGGGACCTAAACCCAGTTTATGACGCATTACATCTACCGCCTATTCAACGTTCCAAAGTCCACTTATGACGCCTCCATTGCATAGTGAAGAGAAACAACCTAACAACCCAATAATGTACTAGTCATAGCTTCTAAATTAAATACAAACCCAGTCCTTCTTATCTTTTCCTGTCCCGAAAGTGGTCAAGCAAGGCCATAGTCATAACCTTTCATGTGCGACTTGGGGTCATGGACAGATTCTTCAAGCATGACCATTGGCCAGTACAATGGCATCTCTTCCGTTTTTCTTTTTTTTTTTTAATTTAGGCGACCTTACCCAGTGTATGACGCATTACATCGACCGCCTATTCAATGTTCCAAAGTCCACTTACGACGCCTCCATTGCAGCGTGAAGGGAAACAACTTAAGCCAATAACCGTACGTCATCGTTTCTAAATACAAACCCAGCCCTTCTTACCTTTTCCTGTCCCGAAAGTGGTCAAGCAAGGCCATAACCTTTCATGTGTGACTTGGGGGTCATGGACGGACTCTTCATGTGTGTCCAGTACATGGCGTCTCCTTCCGTAAAAGACGTGATTAAAAAAAATCTTGTAATGACCTTAATGACCCATATAATTATAATATAATTTATCTTTTGAAACAATGAGGTCAAAATTTAAAATAAATAAATAAAAGTATTAACGTTAAAAAAATTCCCGGTTCTTTTAACATCCAGTGGATTGTTCGCGTCACATCGTTTGATATTAATTCATGTGTGTAACATACGCATTGATTGACAATTGACCGTCCGTGTTGTACAATTCGTTCAACATCGAACAAGTTCAAGGGTTACTGGACTTACATTTGGTTCGCACCTGGTTTATGGACAGTGACAGAGCTATCCGTCTTGATCTGACATGTTTTGTATTGTATTTGAATGATCACGCATGATAATCTTATCTTTGTTAACCAACACATTTAGAATTGTAAAGGTGGACGCCAAGCTGTGGAATCGTTGTCACCTAGTTATTGGATAAGAATGACTATAGGCTTCACGAAGTTCATTTAGATACATACGAACTATTAATGAAACTAAAATAAACATAATGAATTCGATTTTTTTTTGTATCCTCAAGCCGTAGATGAACAGATTATCATTTTATGTCATGCTAAATCGCTTCTACCTCTAGAAATTTTATAATCTTTATTACTTCGTAGTATGATATTTGTCGTTAATTAACTGGATTTCAGCAACGGCCTCCACTAAAAAAAAAATAAGCCAACAAAACCGCCGTCACTCTTAAACAGCAATGAATCTTTCACCATGTAGGTAAGTCGGTCGAATTGAGGTACTTCTTTATTACGTGCAAGGCAACATGGCGTTTACAAAGGGTGTCATTCTTATTTTTATGTAACACTACTACTGTAACGGTAATCTTGGGTTCACCTATTTTCGTAAGTTTAGAAAAGCTGTTTGCGTCGCCGTCGCACAGTGCATACATCAAGATTAAATTTAACTTATTTGCCTCGTTACGCTCCACTACCAAGGCGATCACTATCCGCGTGGAAATTATTTACCAGGTGGTGACAACTTCTTTTCGGTTATTAAAATTCGGGGACACAAACAGTACTTCGTAATACAAAGGATATTTTCCCCGGACTGAATCATGCTGGCATCGTAACCTTCAATCAGCTGTTCAGCGCATGGGCTGACCTCATTTCGCCTACCTAAATGGATTTTTAGGAATCTCGAAAATATATCTTTAAAATAAAATATTAACATGTTTGTTACATCATAGTAAAAATATATATTTACATATTATTTTTAAAAGCATTTATTTAAATCTGAACACTTTATTCACAATTTAAATTCAAAGAAAAGAAAATATATTGTTAGATGCCACCCATATTAAGAAAATCTAAAAATCCCATCGAACCTCTCCAAGGCCCTTACACGATGTTGTTTTCGTCCTCCAGCTGGGTTAGCACGTGATCAGTGGGTGATTCCCGGGCCCCATATAGCAGACCCGATAACCGAGTTAGTTTCAGAACCAAAGCTAAATTCGTGGAGTAAAGATCTTCGAGAGACATCGTTACAGAGAATAAAGTTATAAAGAGATTGTGCATTCGTATTTGGATTTATCTAACACATTCAGTAGTGGTGAGTACAGTTCTCTGTTGCCTAAGGCCCTAAGGCTTATTAATTTTTGCATTTCTTTGAGTTTGAGACTCGATGATATAATATTAATTCGGTGCGATTAATTTGAATATATGTAGTTTTTAGGCCTTTAACGCCACTAACGTACTTTAACTAGTGAACTAGTGTAATCCATTTGGTGTGTTTATTTTTCTTCATACATAGGCAGGAATAGCGTTAATCTCATGAATTATTTATGAAGTTTATCGTTGCTCTAACTTTCTAGGGAAATTAAATAATGCTAACACTAACAATTTGAAAGTTATTTGACTTTTCTGACTGTCCTCTTTTAGTTTTAAACACTTTGTGGTATTAGGTAATAATTTTTATTTAGTTGTTTAGTTAAATTTTTTTTGTGAATTCTTGAGTTACAAGTTTTATTTTTTTAAAATTGGAAATTTAGAATAAAATCGATCGTTCTGGCCATGCCTATTTATTTTGTCATATTGGCGTTCCTGGTTGCAATTAAATAGAAATTGATCCGCGTCTATTAAGTGGGAAAAGAACATCTTTAGGTAGTACCGTATTAAAATGTAAATTGGTTGCTGTTAGCGTTATTGCAGCTTTGGCTTTAGTAAAAATAGGTTACCCCATGACCCAATTCTAGAGGTCACAAAAGCACGGTAGTGACACGCGCTGATCAGTCTCGAATTTGGTTGGTTCGTTTTCCCATGACCTTGCGATTGCGTAGTTCTCAAACTCCGCCCTTTTCTTTTTTTAGTAACGCCTAAGCTCTCCCATTTATTAATAAGACTTGACTGGTTTCTAAACATTTTTATTTTGCCATCAAAAGGGAAATTCCACATACATTATTTTACATACATGATAATGTGAGTGAAGCGACTAATGGTTGTGACCGTGATCAAACAAATTAATTTTTCGCCATAGGCCATAGGTTTATCTTATGGCTTTAAACATTGAATGAGTACCTCTTTATTAGGCTTCAGATTTAGTCTAAATTTTTAAATTGTTTATTCCATGTAGTCGGGGTGAGATTGATTTCCCAGTTTAATAATTTGTCGTTAATTTCCTCAAATATTTTTGTGGCAAATATTAATAAAGCTCATTTTTTCCCCCTTGTTTAGAATCTGCACTTCACAATGACTAAAGCAGAACTTAACCAGAACGAGCTGAAAGCTCTGAGGAGATTGGCAGAGCCTATCATCCAGTCATCTGATTACCAGCCTTCTTCATCCCTTTTGTCTTCCTCCCATATTGGGGAGGCAGTGTCATCTATGCCAGTGCCAGAAACACCAAGTGCTGGAGTGCTTGTCAAAGTAAGTATTTGGCACTTCACTGTTAAAATTCAAAGGCTTAAAATGTCTTAATTAAATTGAATATACTATGTTTTAAAAACTATTTATAAGCTTTACAAATGTACTGTAAATAAACAGTTATAACAATGACTGATTACTTTTTATCTTCAGATTGCATATGCTGGCTCATGCTACACTGAGGGGAAATCAAGGAGCAGGCGCTTCACACCACAGTTCCCAGGGGATGAAGTTGCTGGTACAATCCATGACATTGGAAATGACCTGCCCAACTGCAACTACACAGTAGGCGACAAAGTGATCATTGTCCCTGAACCTGACAGTGTTGGAACTGGTTACGCAGAGTACATCCCAATTGAAGACACCACACGTGTCATCCAGATCCCCAACTCAGTTCCATTGGAGGTGGCTGCCATGTTACCTGGTGGTGCACTTAAAGCATATGCAGCTGTCACCTGTGCCAGACCACATGTGGAAAAACTTCGCAAAGTAAAATGTAAGTTGCAAGAAATATTGTAATAATTTTAAAAAAAATACAATGTAGTTACATACTTCAGTTTAGTAGGTGCATATTATTATTTATGGAAAAGAAATTCGGTTTAATTCAAATGTTTAATGTACTCATTTATTTTTTCTTTACAGCTTGCGTTAATGTTCTTGTTGTTGGAGCGGGCGGCCTGGGGCTGTGGACCATTAAGTTGGCCAAATACTTGATGGGTCGTGACAACAGCAGTGTAAGGGTCTTTGTGGCCGATAACAGCATTGACAGACTTCTGACAGCCCAGGATCATGGCTGCTATGACATCATCCACTGGAATGAAGAGGACCATGAACAGTACATCATTGAGCGCACACTTGACTCCTGTCGTGGTGGGGTTGATGTCATCATTGACTTCATTGGCTCTAACAGATGCATGCAGAGGGCTCTTAAAGTTTTGAACAGAGTAAGTGTTTTATCAGTCACTCTTTAAACCAAAGTTTTTAGTTATTTTTTTAAAATTAAAACAATTGATATACTCAATTTAGAAATTGTTGATAATTTGTGCTTAACTTGGTCTTGTTAACTGTATTAAACTAAAGTATATGTTCAAGTGAGACATCAAATATATAAATTTATAAATATTTAAACCTTTGAGCAAGTTGTTTATTGTCTTTCTTTTATCTCTTTTTGTGCCAGGAGGGCCTTATCTTGGTTGGCGGGAATTCCACATCTGAAACAAGCATTTCCCTGAACGCACTTGCTGCTAAACAACAAAGCATTGTTGGTATCCCACAAGGCAACCTGAACCAGCTCATTGAACTCCTAAATGCTGTTGCAGATAATGAGGTAATTATCTTATGGATTTTTTTTTTTTAGCTACCAGTTATTTAAGGAAAATTATTCTGTTAAAGATAACTTTTTAATATTTAAAATCTGATTTGCCAAATAAATTTTATAGTTAATAATCCTGTATGATTCTTCATCATTTATCTTCATTGCTGTAGATTTCTATCTTGGTTTTCTTTCCTCCTTGTCTAGCTTGAAATCCCACAGTACAAGGTCTTCCCTGTTGAAGATGCTAATCAAGTATTTGAAGACCTCTGTGAAAATAGGTTAACTGGGAGAGCGATTTTTAAATTTGGGTCACAATCCAGCACCCATGTAGTGGACAATCATTGAGCAGTGACCCTCAGCATCTTAATTCCTCCTCAATAGACAATTCATCATCTAGTTTAAAGGACCATCATGCTGATTATACTCATGTACGGAGAGCTGTATCACCACCCCTGCGCAGCCTGAACAAGGCACCATCATTCACTTAGCTATGATCCACACATTGCATTTGTCTTGTCACAGGACATCTTCCTTTAAACTGATCTGGGATGCTTGCCCCCCCTGGCCGATGGTTTGTGTGACTACTTCATCTCATGTTTTCCTTGCAGGCATTTCATGTGATAGATAGTAGGTAATGGCCAATCCAAGAGAGCCGATCATGGTGCCCTAGATTCTTGTTTGATATAGCATTGTGTCATCTGAGTCCTTTAGAGCGGTATACATTGTTATGCATCCCACGAAGACTGCATCAAATGGCGATTATATTAATTCACTTTTATATTAGATTCGTTTTTGTGTGTTAAGCCATAGTTGTATACACGAGTTTAAAAAAATAAAGTGAGAATGTGCCTTTTGTGAATGGTTAATTATTGAACAAGGAGCTGTTATCAAAATACTCAGAGCCATTTATTAAGCACACAAGTAGAGAGAAAATTGTTGCATTTTTTCAATATTTTGAATATGCCTATTTATAATAAAGTTTTCAATAATTCATAGGAACTTGATTTTAAAAATTCCTTTTCCTTATTAGAAAATTGGAAAAGGTATAAAAAAAACCCCTAACATTAAAAAAAAAATTCTTTAAGGAAAAAAACAAACACTTGGCCATGATGGACTAAATCCAATTATTGCTGTGATGTTGTATACTAACTTAGCTACACAAAGTTATGATGGGTTCAAGTTGTCTGGTGGGACTTAAATCTGATGCCATCATACTTAGATCTGATGCCGTCACATGGTGTAAATGGCAAGAATGGATTCTTCTGTACATTTTTGTTTCCTTCTGCATTGAATCTTCTTGAACAAATGTGTGAGGTGTGCTTATGTAAAACATGCTGTATAACAAAATAATGATACTGGGTCTTGCTTTTAAATTGATTGGAAATTGTTTAGTATTTGTGATGTAAGTGCCATGGAGTGAATGTGAAACAGTGATATTTCATACTTTTTTGTCCTTGGCAATTTTGATACATAAAATATTTTGCATTGTAATGTTGGATTTCAAAACACTGATCAAAGTATAAAAAAAATACCATGTTGATTAAACATAAAAAAATTTAATGAAATCTTTTTTACATTATTTCTGGGTGTGGTTTTTGCTTGTCTGTGGATATTAGTAATATTTCCTTTACATCAACCTTCCTATTATACAAACAAATGGGAGATGTTTGTAGTACTATGTGTAATTAAAAAAAAAAACAACACTTGAGATGCCTACAGCAAAAACAAGACAGACAGAAGTTAAATGGAAATAAAAGCAAGGAAGTGTTCTTTTCAAGTTACACAGCCTTAAAATCAAAATAAAATATTGAATTAGCTTTTTACATTTGGTAAATTTAGCAATGGTCTGTTGAGACCAATAGACATTTTTTAATTGTTCATATCTTATACATTATTGGTCAACCAACTGCTGTATGTATACATTATTGGTCAACCAACTGCTGTATGTTACTATTGTACCATACTCAAGAGATCATGTGTGACACACATTAAAGTAAAAAAAAAAATTATAATTATACCAATAAAATCTGAAGAAGATAATGATTAATTTAATAATTTTTTTTTGTGGGGTGGGGGATGTTGGACTATCTGAAATCTGTGTACGCACAATTTGTTCAATATCCTGACACACTTTATGGACACCCCCACTAATTACGGTACCGTTAAATATTTTAAAAAAATATTTTTTTTTACAAACTCTTTAACCAGTTGATGGAAAGACAACCTGCTCAGTTCAATATAAAAGTGGTATAAGTATAGTATACCCCGTGAGATACAAAGGATGAATTGAAATACAAAGGATGAATTGAAATGAACATGTTCTGACATTTCACGTCTGATCCAGCAGCCATCTGTTGCGTTTCTGCATCGTGTGACGTCACATGGTCTTGCCATTGTTGCAATCTCAGGTGTAGTCTGCAACACGGGAGCATGTTATTTTTGCCAACTGGCGGTTTTGAGTGCTGCCGGGACGTGACCTGACGTAGCTTGGGCGACCTTGGAACTGTTGGCTCCGCCTCAAAACTTGAGAAAAATAAACCTACGTCCTTAACCTGACAGCTAAGATAAGGTAACCGAAATTTTAAGGGTAAATTTAGGGGAGGGGGGGTGGGATGGGCTGTGAAACTCGATTAAAATTAGAGGGGAAGGAGGTGGGGTCTTTTGACTTTTGGACAGAAACATGCATCTCTGGCTATATTTACTAAAATCTTTATAAATATCAAGCATTCCTAAATGCAGTCACTTAAGAATGGTTTGGGGGGGGGGTGGTTGAGTTATTGTGGTTGTAACGAACCAAATGC